AAAATCGAACGCTGTAAGGGCATCGGGATTTACTACGGAAATAATCTGAAGTTATCAACGAAATTAATCTATTGCTAACTTAACGTGGCTAAAACTGTCTCCGAACAAACGGATATTGGAATGAAACGGCGTATGTTACTAAAATTATTATTATTATATATTATATTATATATCTTTGATATTAAAAAAAATCTGAAGGAAATATAAACATCTATAGTTAGATATCATTCATAGTTTTGCGGTTTGGAATTTTTTTTTAAACGTAGATATTTTTGAATAGATGTTAATTGTTATAACTGTGCCAAGTAGGTGACTGTCAAGAGAACAACTGTTTTCTAGAGCAAAACAAAACATTATGACGTCATATGTTTTCATGACATTCCGTGCTTTCGGAAACCAGCTTCCACTCAATTACAGAAACCGATAAAGACAATTTAAATGTTATAGAGTTATTTGAAGAACGCTCAAACGATTGCGCGCATGACAGTCCGCCATGACAGATTATAACCGTCACCGATACAAATCCGACGTCAAATCGGGAGAGGAATTAAAACGTCAGGCCCGCCTTCAAGGAATCCGAACTGGATAAAGCTTCCGCCGAGAATCCGACGATTAAACCAAATAATTGCAGCCAAAATATCACAACTGCTCGTTATAACCCATCGCGCTTTTGATCTACGTAGGTATCTGTTTCTTGAATTTTAGCGTTTTTTATCTGCGCCGCCGTTTTGAATTTCGAACGCCGCGTATCGAACGGCGCAATAAATTCATAACACCACTAAAGTTTCGTAACGAAAATCATTAACTGACAAACATCGTAAAACGGAGGCGAACTAGAACGCATTCCCGGTTTAAATTTAAAATTCGAACGAGCGACATATTTTTAAAAGTTCGAACGACACTTAAAACTAATCGCTGTTTCGATTCTAGAACGTCTTTTGAAAGAGTTCGAATACGTTCTAAAAATGTTTTCGATCGGACGGCTGCTCGGCCGCGTCAAATTGAAAAATGGAATTGTGAAATCCGTTGTTTTTATCGGCATTGTACTCATTAATAATCGGTTATTTTGTCTTCCAAAATTTGAATTTCGAATAGAATAGTGATGTAACACATTAGCCGGGGATTGTCGAGCTTTCTTGACAGTTGCGAAAGAGCATGTCGCATTGTATTTGTTCGTGGTTTTATGAATTCTCAGGCTACTTGTGGCGGGTAAGCGTGCGAGCAATTTCAAATACGATGCGTATCGTTCGCGAACAATGGCCGTCTCTTATGCCTCTCGGTAACGTCTGCAAAAACGTAAACTACTCGTTTAATACGTTTTTTATTACGTCTTGAAGCTTGTTTTCCGCTTGTAATCAATTTTTTTGTTCGGAATTTATGAACTAATATAATTACAATACTTTGCGCTGACTATGTCCAAAAAACTGGACGCGTTCGAGATCTGGGTTTATCGTATGCTTCAAATATGCAGAACAGACAGAATGCAGAAGAAACTTGAGTATTCTAAATTTACATTCACTACCAGTTCGCAAAGGGCGTAGAGCGGGCAAGAAGAACTAGTAAGAAACTCTTCGCCACTCTTTTTAATCGCCAAGTTTTGAGTTATACAAATTCTTTGAACTGGAGCAAATCAATCCCCAAGGATTAGGATCATTTAAAAAATAAAATACTTATATACTAAACCTAATGTATATAATATATAGACCTGTTTTTATTAAAATTTAGTACCGTTTTGGCGCCGAAATTATAAAATTCCATTGAACGAAAGTAATAACGCTCGCGGCATATCACGCAATATCGAATTTTGGATTTTATAAAGAAATGTAACCTTTACTTAGCGTGTTAAAATCGTGTTAATTTTAATAAATGTACACACTTCATGATAAAAAAAAATTGTTTGGAGTGAAGTGACAGATGCAGAAATGTCAATGTCAATTATAGATGATAATGTCAGGAAAAAATTAATTTAATTTAAATGCTTCTATCTATATACTTTTTAGTTAATTAGTCTTAGTCTAGAATGTTAAATTGTCTTTGACCAGAGACAATTTATATAAAAAAGATGGTTTAATGTAAATAATAGATGTATAAATATATAAATGATCTTAAGTGATACCGCCAAGGACACTCTCACTGCCAGATAGCTCGCGAGTGCGGTGCCGGCCTATTAAGAATTTGTACGCTCTTTTCTTGATGGATTTGGAAAATGATGGTAAGTGATACTGCCATGGACACTTTCAATTTCAGAGGGCTCGCGAGTGTGTTGCCGGCCTTTTAAGAATTGGTACGCTCTTTTCTTGAAGGATTTGGTATTAGTTCGGAAATACTTCAGTGGGCAGCTGGTTCCACATAGTGCACTGTCAAACATCAAACTCTCGTGTTTTAACCTCCTAAGAAACGGCTTGACCAATTTTGATGAATTTTTTGTGCTATATAAAATATAATCATTAACTTTCATCCTTATATAATATTATGGTAATTATAATAAATTATCACTTAATTATAAACGCATTAAATAAATAAATAATTTAACTCAGCTGGTATCAAAGAACTTTCGTTTCCAAAATATTCGATTTCGTAGTGATGTCCAGCAGTCGATTAATTACGTATCGATATTCGCGAGCGAATTCCGATCGTGTAGAAGATTTACGGCGACATTACGTCGGACGTTAAGTGATGTCGCCAACTGAAAGGTTAATTGGGTACGACTAAAATAAAATACGTCGTAAATATATCGGAGTTAATTCGAATCCTGAAGTGAGATCGCGTTTCTAATCATTTGCGATTTGTCTATGCTTCACTTAATTACACTTAGATCGCTTGGGCTTGATAGTGTTATATGTTATAATATACGATTTAGAAAATGCATTCCTGCATATGCTTAAATAGCATGGTAAGATTAAATACGAAATACAAATGCTGAAAAATAAAGAATGGCGTAATCTGTATTTTAAAGTTTAAAAAAAAGTAGCCTGTGTTCGAGTACTTTAAGGATTACATTTAAGTATTTATATTTAATATCCTCCTCCGAAATAACTCATATTTCCAATCTCTTTTAATTCATATTCCTAGGTTTCTGGTGGGCGTTGTCTCTTTATTTTTCTTCCCACTGGTCCATAGTACACGAACTTCAATGGAAGGCCTCCTTCAAATCCTTCCATTTGTGTCTTATCTCCACTACTATTCCTCGCTATCTCTTTTATTTCATTTTCACAGGTTCCCTCTTTTTTCTTTCTACTGAGCCATGCCGAGTCTTTTTGACCCATCTGTCATTTACACAGGCGCTGTGACCCACCATTAAATTTAAAAAAAAAATTTACGAAATAATTTTAAATACTGCTCCACTTTCCTCAATCAAATTGAAAGACCATTGGAAAATGGATCTAATAACATTAAGATAAGGTCGATGTTAGCTTAATGCCTTAAGACTATCTAACTTCAATGATTGCACCGATTGTGAAAAATATCATTAAAAAACGATCAGCCTGATGATTCAGGCCAGAGTGGTCCGTCATCAGCAGCAATCGAATCTTCACTTTTTATTTTTATTAAATTATCGAAGAGACCATTTGAATTCTACACGTTAGTGTTAATAGTGGAATACAGAACACAAGAACAGAGAGTCTAATAGAGAGTGTAAGTGTTATTTGACACTTGTTAAATGTACTTTTAAGTAAATTAGATTAGTTTTAGATTACTTCTTAGTGTTAAGACAAGATTGTAAAGTTAAATAGGATATGTGCAGTGACAATTTAAAAAAATCAGAGACAATTTACGAAAAAAAAATCAGAGATAATAAAAATACCATAGATAATGTATAAAAAATCTGAGAAATTAATAAAAAATCTGGGTAAATTTATGGAAAAATCAGAGACAATTTATATAAAAAATAGAGATAAAACGAAGGCCTTTTAAGAATTAACTAACGTTCTATAAGTTCCAATTCTCTATGCCCTCCAAAAGGTTTATAAATATTATTACGTATATAAGTTGTGGACGTTTTTTATATTTTTCTACGTATGTATTTGTTCTAATTTGTGGTCCACAAATACATGGAGCTTTTAAACTGTAGATATCTTAAGAGCTTTAAAGCTCGAACAGATAATGGTCTTAAAAACAATTAACTATGAGTGATAATTTAATTACTACGTCAGCAGATGCTCTTGCTCTCACCAATTATTTTTATATTAGTGATTCGTAGAAGAATCGATATGGCCCGCCCACTTATAGAGCTGATGGGCGGAGAACAAATCGAATTAGTAAGGCCAATGCATCGATTAGCCTGATAGACAAAAAACACGAAGCCCCGAAAATCAACCGAAACCGTTGGTTAATGGCGGTTTTTGTTCGAAATTCGAAGATTTGAATTCGTAATTTCAACCGCATCATTTGTCAGTGACAATTTTTTGGCTGCAATCGATTTTTAAATACAGGTGAGGTTCTTTTTTCAAATCGCGAGCTCGGATTCCAAATTTTTTTTTACGTTTATGCCGATTTGTAATCTGTGGATTCTTTCCGCTACATTTCTGATGCGTTTAATAATCTGTGACGATTTGCCGAAGATTAAAATCTTTGATCTGTTGATGCATTTCACTCGCTTAATGTCAATTATTATCAAGGGGCAGTCATCGCACCTATTTTTAGTGAGTGCTTTGAAAGGCTTTGAGAGAGGCGTATCTCTTCAATTGGCAGCTCATGTCTGAGCGTCATGTTCAGGCAACATTTGGAGCTGGAGCTGGATTCTGTCCAGCGCCTCTCTTTTGACAGTTTTGAGGAGGACTTGATCGGTCAATTGGTGAACGGCTACGTGATTTGCCTTCTGTGTTTTCAACCATCAGTTTCTCCAAGTTCTCATCACCTCTGCGCATTGTGTTAGAATATACTCTTTAAACAATTGGAGAAGTAAAACCAAAAATGATAATGTTAGAAGTCGGCAAAAGATTCCAAAATTTCGTTTTATAATTAAACAATTTAATCGAATGGAATGAAAAGTATTGTATTTAGTCTATGGCGAAGCGCGGGTCGTTGCCATGGGAAAGTGTATTTTTTGCCAAAACGGGACACATTCTTGCACCCAAGGCTATGGGAATTCGACATTCCACCTGCGGCAACCATTTGATATCATCGATATTATCGACTCGATTAATTACGCACATCACTAATTAGCATATTTTAGTCAAATATAATTGGCCGATTTAATTCACAGAATGAAAAATAGTCCGTCGTTCCACAACTGAGCGTTTCGTAAGCTGCCCACTGAAGTATTTCCGAACCAATTCGACTTAGGGTCCTTTAAGAAAAGAGCGTTCCAATTCTTATAAGGCCGGCAACACTCGCGAGTCCTCTGGCATTGAGATTGTCCATGGGCGGCGGCATCTCTTAACATATGAGCCTCCTACCAGTTTCCCCCTGTTCTATAAAAAATCTGATAAACTGATAGAGGACAAATTAAAAAAAAAAATTTTTTTATTATTATTTATTACTTAAGATGTAATTTGGAACAAGGTGTAATGGTTGCAGCTCACAACAAACAAACAAAACAAAAACCTTGGCGATTTAAAAGAGTGGCGGAGAGTTTATTGCCAGTTCTTCTTTTCCGTTCTACGCCCTTGATTTGAGAAGTGGCACTAAATGTAAAATTAGAAACATTCCATATTAATGTATATTTTTTTGACTTTCATAAGTGTACATTGTGTAACCTATATGAATAGATGATTTTTGACTTTTTTTTTGAACTAGTAGATCTGTGGCAGCACAGATTACATTTGAAAATATTCGAATTTTAATCTACACATCTGATTTAGTTATTGTCTGTGGTTTGGCGCCGAAACCTAATAAAAACTACTGAATAATAAAAATAATATAGCTACCGTTCTATAACCTATAATGACGGTGTTAGTAATCGAACCCGCGGCTCTCGATAAAGGCCGCCTTTAACCACTTTACGACTCTTAATTGTTATCAAAGGATCTTTTATGCTTCGAGTTTTATTAACTTTAAAATAAAATTAATCTTCGTTAACCATAACTATAGAGAGCAGTGTTGGCCTAGTGGCTTGAGCGTGCGATTCTCATACCTGAGGTCGTAGGTTCGATCCCCGGCTGTGCACCAATGGACATTCTTTATATGTGCGCATTTAACATTTGCTCGAACGCTGAAGGAAAACATCGTGAGGAAACCGACATGTCTTAGACTCAAAATGACGTCGACGGCGTGTGTCAGGCACTGGAGGCTGATCACCTACTTACCTATTAGATTTAAAAATGATCATGAAACAGATTCAGAAATCTGAGGCCAAGACCTAAAGAGGTTGTAGCGCCACTGATTTTTTTTAAACCATAACTATGAGAAATGAGAATACTAAAGTGTTTGTCGTGTTTGAATCCCAGCGAAAATATCTATTGCGTATTAATGCCTAATTGACTGCTATGCCCCAGGGGCATTCTTTATACTAGACTAATGATAACAATTAGTTGGCCTGGCTTCAGCGTGACTCTCATCCCTGACTTTCTTTCTTGTATTTGACGTAATGATTTAGACCCAAAAAGTCGACATAAGTCAGGCACAGATAGCTGATCTACTTGCCTTTTAGATTGACAAATGATCATGAAACAGATATAGATAAATATTTATAATTCTTAATTTCGTACAAGATATGATAAGTTTCTATTTGTAGCCCATATTTGAGTTCCATATTTAGCGTCTATTTTGATATTTTGTTTAATGTTCAATTTAATAATATATCTTAATATATATAAATTACGTGTCACGTTGTTTGTCCGCTATGGACTCCTAAACTACCGAACCGATATCAATCAAATTTGCACACCGTGTGCAGTTTGATCTAACTTAAAAGATAGGATAGCTTACAACTTAATTTATACCCGCAATATTATTTTATTGCAAAATATTTGTTTATTATTTAATAGTCACAATTCTAACAGATGGCGCTGTGTTGAAAGTACCAACGTTTCACATAAGCTACAATTTAATGGCATAACCACCAATAAAACATGGTGGTCCCCATAACTGGTGTTCTCCTACCGTTTCCCGTGATTAGTTTACTACTATGTAATATAACAAAAACCTTAGCCACAGCAACGCTTGGCCGGTCTGCTAGTTATAAAATAAAATTCTCGTGTCACAGTGTTGGTTCCCGCACTCCTCCGAAACAGCTCGACCGATTCTTATGAAATTTTTTTATGCATATTCAGTAAGTCTGAGAAATGGCTAATATCTATCTTTCAAACCCCAAAATGTTACGGGTTACCCAAATTTTTTATGATACATCATACAAAATAAAAAATACATACAACCCCTATTTTTCACCCCTCTAAGATCAACTCAACACAAATATTTTTTATTATTGTAGATAGTTATTTTTATTGAACTAAAAAAATGTTTCCTAGAAATAATATACATGGCAAAACAAACGTTTGCCGGGTCAGCTAGTATATTATAATATTAAGAACATAAAATTGTTACTTAGCTCTTTAAATGCTTGATTATTAAGACATCAATAAATGGTTAATTTTTTAATATATTTTATTTTTGAGACAAAAACAAAATGGTAGCCCATATTTGGTTACTCTCCTCTTGTTTATGTACTAACGATGAAAAATATTTTATCCTAATAGCGCACATAACAATGGCGCCATATTAAAAACTCTATGCAAAATATTCATTCATGGAATTGCGATGCATTCAACGATTCATATGAATGTACTCTGATACTATTGTTTAAATTATTGATTAAGGCTATTTACGTACGAATTTACATACGTCGTGTATTAATTGCGATTTCCGGTAACGCCTAGTTATAAAGTATAAAATTTTGACGTCACTATCACATAATCTTCAATCGGTTGAAACTTGGAGACAAAGTTAAAGCAATAACAGACGTACCACATGCAAAGTTAAAGTGGAAATGGGCCGTTGGATGATTGTATAATGAAGAATATGCATCAAAATACATTCAAGTATAAAATTTCGAATATATTTTTTCTTAAATTTAGTTTAAGGCTTCCTATAAATTGTATAGATCGTTTAAACAAAATATTGTATAAACTATAAAGTAGCCCATAAATAAATGTACCTCCAAAGACAACTTGATTTTCTCTAGATTTGAAGGGGAACCCCCAACTGCATCACTGGAACTGGATTCAGTAAGTAAACTCCACAGTCCACATGACGTGGTAATAATTGTGATTTAATGAAAATATATAACATATGTTGGGCCTCTACCAATAGTGGGAATAATGAACGCACACATTTTATAAAACTCTAAATTCTTTATAATACTTTTAATGTTTTAAATCTGATATGGTCCAATCGCTCGTGAACTAGCTAGCTAAAGAAATCATAAGGTGTAATGCATGCGCCTATTACTTTCGTGGCCACTCATACTGGCGCCATCTAGTTGGTGGTAAAGAAAGTTTTCAAAATATACATGGAGCAGATGAAACTGGATATTTATGTTAAAAAAAATATAACACATCGATGGTTTTTTTAGTTTTTAATTAAAATATATTCCGCCCGTTACTTCGCCCGTGTGGATTGGAATATATATATTTTTTATATGATAGGGGGCGGACGACCAAAAAGGGCAGTCTACGCAGCCCATAGACACCCACTTTTAGTGGGTGCGTTGCCGGCCTTTGAGGGAGGAATAATTGGAAAACAAAAGTTCGTCTGTCATTTTATTAGAATTTATTATAATGACTGTGGCCATCTTTACTTTGACTGTAGACAGTATTTTTCCATCATATGTAACAGGGAATATAATGCTTTTAATTGCATATTGTATAAAATTGATACATAACATAGGGAGGGGCAAAAACAATGGGACAAAAAGTCCTGGAATCCGAGGACCAGTCAGTGAAGCGTTGGATGGCCACCCACAAGACAGATGGACAGATGACCTGGTGAAGGTAAAGGGAAGGTTGGATGCATGCAGACTGGACATCAACAGATTGAAACAAACGAACGAACATAGGGAGGATCTAGCACAGATTGTCTTGATTAAAAGAAAAATCAGTGGCGCTACAACCACTTTTAGGTCTTGGTCTAAGAATTCTGAATCTGTTTCATGATCATTTGTAAATCTAATAGTCAAGTAGGTGATCAGCCTCCAGTTTCTGACACACGCCGTCGACTTTTTGGGTCTAAGACATGTCGGTTTCCTCACGATGTTTTCCTTCACCGTTCGCGCAAATGTTAAATGCGCACATAGAAATAAAGTCCATTGGTGCACAGCCGGGGATTGAACTTACGACCTCAGGTATGAGAGTCACACGCTGAAGCCAATAGGCCAACACTGCTCTAAAAAAAATATTATTTGTAAAATTTACGATTTCTTCCCCAGAAAAGAATGCCTTTTAGACAAGCAAAAGCCCATTGGCGCCAAGCCAGAGATGCCTCTATCAATGCGATGTTGGAAAGTACGCATTATTTATTTTATTACCGCCGTAGACATTGACATATTTCGAGATTCCGATGCGAGGTGTCATTTTAAACGACCATTTCTATTTTATGCGATTTCAAAGAATGCGAAACTCGTTTTACTGCATTAAATTAAACAATGTCAAAAATCTCAGTGCAGGAACCCTTCGGGTCTGGCATGTAGGTCAGATTTCTATGCCACAGGCGGTCGATTTTTGGGTCCAACGCCGGTTTTCTTACGTTGTCTCCTGTCACCGTAGATTCGAAGTTATGACTTCAGGGAGAGAGGCATCAAGCTTCTTCTTAAGTGGTGGTACACGTCAAGGGGTACGGAAATTGTTAAGTGTCAATCAGGTTATATACACTTATTAAAAAGTTTTTTTTTGATAAATCAAGAACCATCATTACCCCTTATACTAATCAAGAAATATTATTTTACCTTCAATATATTGGTAAATAATTGTCTATGATATTACTGGTATAAACTCACTAACATCTTCATATAGTATCTCTACATAGCATTTATTACTAATAAAAACACACACACATAACAATAATCAAATAAATAAATATAATCACGAAAAAATATTGTTTTTGGGTCTGGATAATGGCTAAGTCGTTTATTTAAAAGTTAAACGTTTTTGTTACTCAAAGAAGATTTAACTATATAATTTCATAATACATTTTCTATTAGCAGGACCTTGAAAACAACGATTAGCTATTTCCGTTAATTCAAGATGTCGTAACATCCGCTTTTATCTTTATTAAGATTGATATCGATCTAACAACTTATCCCTCAGAAATTCTATTGAAATAACAATTGCAATCATTTATTGTTCTATAAGATTATTAGCACAGTATTTTAAAAAAATACTATTCGATTTTTTTTCCGAACTGAGGTGCATTTTGATACGCGACAAATAAATAGCCAAAATTTAAAAATATGATTAAAAGTGAAATTTTACAGGAAGTATTCATTTTAATTGATTGGACTATTGTCAAAAACATGCAAACACACTTTCGTAACGTAATTAAAAGGTGAGTGACCGCTACCCTATAGTTTAACCCTAACAACGCCCACATTAAGATTCGGATATATCATAACCCCTCGGAGTGCCAAAAGTCGTTAGTTATCTTACAGATATATATAAATAATCACAGAAGAAAGTGTTATAATTTTATTTACTTATTGAAGTGAAACTTCTTTATCGAGGTTGGAAAAAAATTTAGTATAACATTTTTTCGTTACGCGTCACATTTTTCGGTTACGCGCCATGTTGCTTTTTGAAGTCAAACTTCTTTATCGGCGTTGGAATGAAACTTCTTTATCGACGTATGGGAGAAATTTTGTAGCAAATCGTCACGTTTTTCAATGATAGTAATAATTCTATTACAATTAATGAAATTCTATAATAATCTTCATAGTAATAAGGTAAAATGAAATATTTGTATTCATGTCTATGATAATAAAAGCCTTTTGTTAAACTTTATCTAATTTAACGAATTTCTGTAAAGTTGCATATAGTAGATCATTTTTCGAAAAATAAGATCATAAAGAAGTTTCACTTCTTACGTGTGTACACCTAGTACACGCTCTCTGGTTATTTTATATGTATTATATAGAGTTACTACACACTTTTGTTTGACATTTGACAGTTGACAATTGACCTTATTAGCAATGTAAATTCACATACAATAAAAAATATTCCAATAGATTGAAGTATCGTTTCTAGTTTTTTATTTGTTGTGTATAAAGTAGCCCTGGGTACACTTTCGTTTGGCATTTGACAGTTGACAGTTAACCTTATAAGCAATGCAATATGTCTAATTCCTTTTTAGTACTGTCAAGTTTATTGTAATAAAAATTTCACTCCTGTAGATTGAATTATTGTTTCTGGATTTTTATTAGTATTTTATAAAGTAGCCCTGGGACACTTTCGTTTGGCATTTGACAGTTGACAGTTAAGTTAGCTATAAGCAATGCAATAATATGTCTAATTCCTTTTTAGTACTAGTACTGTGTAGCTAAGTTGTTGTAAGGTCTACACACACATACGTACAGTAAATTAATATCAACTTGTATCTCAACACAAGTCGATCAGATATTTGCATAACGATTATTAGAACAATAGATAATAATTGTTTCGGTCGGGTACGGTACCCCCGACCCTAAGGTTGGGTATTACAGGTTAATTGCGGTTATAATGTTGGCATTAATCGATTTTCTGACTGTTTTTGTGTCGTAGAGATAATGCTATTATCAACCAACCCAGCTTGCCATCTAACCCAGACAATTATCACTAATAACAACTTACAGCCAACTATTAGGTAAGCAATCATTCAATATTCAGAAGGAATTTCTGAAGTGTGTTTCAGATTTTGGTTTGATTCGACTGTCATAAGACGTTACCTGTTGCCAGAACTGTGCTAGAAGATATATTCTTTCCTTCTTAAAGAGCCAGTCCATCGAGTGCATAGCTTGCACCTCCGCCTCTGGTGCGGCGGGCAGGCTGGCCGCGCCGGTGGGGTGCATCCGGACGTCCGCGCACCGCTGATTCCCGGCGCGATCTGACCCGTCACCCACGCAAATGTCTTCCAAATTCAAACTTGGCGCGCATTTTCAGACCATAGACTTCTTTTTGTTTAAGTGTCAGTGTCAATCGCGTGTTCTTGACAGGCTGAAACTGAAAAAAAAGTAGTCATGTAATCGATTCCATTGTTGGCAGACAATCGGCTAGCGGTTCGTGTCGAAACTAATTTTTATGTTTGATGCTCAGCCCGATACGGTAAGGAAAATTGACAGCTTAAAGGAAATTCGCGCGATGACTCGACTATTCGTGGATTTCGTTTTTCTTTTGTTACAGTGCTGTGTTTCTTTTAATGATTTGGTCTTTATGGTTTTTAAATTTATTCAAATCGATATTAAAAGTTTAGGTGTGAGCCAATCGTCACCCCACGAATACAGCGACAAGTTGATTTTGATCTTTGATCCAAGTTACGGGCTGAGCGTCTAATGTAGCACAAATTATACAAATACAGTGCAGTACAAATGCGATTATAAAGGCCAGAGGAAATTGGAACGAAGGATCGCCGAGAAGTAGGTCAATACGGAAGACGACAAAATACATTGTCATCCCAGTATTAAAGATATGTACATATATACTAACTATAACATATATAAATACAAAATAATTAACTTTTCAAATATTGTTTCAAGTATTTGTATCACCCTGAGCAATGTTAACCTAGTGGCTTCAGCATGCGACTCTCATCCCTGAGGTCGTAGGTACCATCTCCGGCTGTGCACCATTTGACGTTTTTTCTATGTGCGCATTTAACATTCACTCGAACCGTGAAAGTTGACGGCGTGTGTCAGGCATAGGAGGCTGATCTACTTGCCTATTAGATTGACAAATGATCATGAAATAAATACAGAAATCTGAGGCCCAGACATAAATAGGTTGTTGTTATTTGTACTACCCAGTTTTTAATATCATATTTAAATCTTAGTTGTCAAAAATGACTGAAATATCAAATGAGTATTTATATTTTCTATAATCAGTAACCAAAAGCTTGTCAACGAGACATGGAACGGAGTATGTTGAACATAGAGGCGTGACAAAAAAGGATGAACTAACAAAAATTAAAAAACTGGGCATATGATGAAGTCCAAAAAGGTGGACGAAAGACGTCATAGAACCCCATTGGAGAACGAAGAGAGGCCGTCAAATAAAGAGATAAGAAGACAATCTCGAAGGATGAAGAAGATCAGCGCGAAAGAGACGAGGGGAAACAAAAGAAGGGGAGACATATCACAGAAAACCTGGCCTGGTCGCTGATAACTAGTGTGATATATGCTATATGTTGCCTAAATTTATGTATATGTATGTATTTGGTTATTGAATAAAGGCTTTTATTATTATTAATGTGTATTTTAATTTTGCCTTGTATGTAGATACATTTGCTGAGTTCTGAGCTAGTGCCGATGACGTAGGAATTCCCAATGTTCCCGTTGTTTAAGCTAGTGCCGATGACACATTAGTTATTCGCGATATCCCAAGACTCGAGCACAATCAGGAGCGGTAGCCACAACGTTGAATTACTAGCGTGTCAATCAATAAACATGATAAGTGCGGCAGTTTCGTGCGCCGATATGCAAACAGGATTACACGCCCGCACGAACCCACCGACTTGGATCGATTGTATTCGATTGTGTCCGTTTTTTTGTTCTTGGTCAAGTCGTCACTGACTCACAAAAACTTGCGACGCGCGTGAATTCCAAGTATCAAGATTGATAGGGCGCTCTATTACATGAACGTAAAACTTTTGTATTTTCTAATCTTTGTCAAGGAGGACGTGAATGTCAAAAATCGTTTGACAAATCACGAACAAATGAAGCTCGCCTTAAAAGACGATAGTCTATGCTTCTGGTTTGGTTTAAGTTTGGTTTCAAACTAGAAGGTTGGCTATGGGTACAGTGGGACTGTACCACTAAGAACGGTTCGGTGCCACAATTCTTTTAACAATAAGTATTCTTTAGACTTTAAACTGATATATTTATTGTCTTTCAGTAAAAAAATTTAAATCACAAAATACTCACAAAAAATAAATAAGAAATTATTAATAAAGCGACATCGCAAAAGAAAATAAAAATAAAGTAATAATAAAAATAATTAAAGAAGAAAGAAGAAAATCAAAACCTGTTTAATTAATGTTAATTTAATTTTAATTTAATGTTAATTTGCCTGTTTTATTTCCCAAAATTACAAAATAATATACAGCTTAGATTGGCTATTATTTTCCCTTTCTTTCTTTCTGTCTCTGGCAGAATGACCAGCGCTGTGGAACAGTCTGCTCCTTAGCATAATGCTGAGCCAGGGACAATTACAACCACAGCACACACGCATCACACACTTGAAACGAACCGAAAGGGAAAAATATATTTTTTTTGATATCTCTAATTATATTTTTTTTTATTGCTATTTTGTGTGTTTATGTGTGTGTGTTACTAATAAATGTTATGTCTATATTATAAGCATTTTTTCTTGCTATCTTAATATCCTATCCTTTTCCAAAAATCTCTATCCATGGTGTTAAATATCATACACTTTTAACAAAATTATGAATACCATTACGCAACTGCCATAAAACATATTATTATCAATATATCAATCAGTATTGTATATCATACGTGACACCAAAATGACTCATACAAAAAGAAATAATTCCCACTAGAATTCGCTTTACAGTTTATTAGTTAATATTCATTAGTAGGGGAGGCCTGATGTAGATAAGCCCACAGAAGGCTTATTAACGCATTCGCGGTCTTTCGACGGACATTTTAACACAAAAATAAATCAGCCAGGAATACTTCCTGAGTACCTCGTGCCAAGTAGAGTATTTTTGTTTGGGTTTATATGAAGAACTACTTTTCTGTCCTATATTAAGTTATACATATTATAAAAGAAAATACTTACAGATATAATTAATAATATATTTGTGTATCGGTTTCATGATCATTTGTCAATCTAATAGGCAAGTAGGGGATCAGCCTCCTGTGCCAGACACACGCACGGTATGGGTCTAAGGCAAGCCGGTTTCCTCACGATGTTTTCCTTCACCGTTCGAGTGAATGTTAAATGCGCATATAGAAAGTCCATTGGTGCACAGCCGGGGATCGTATCTACGACCTCTGGGATGAGAGTCGCACGCTGAAGCCACTTGGCCAACACTGTTTAGTTCGACAATATACAAAGCCAAAACGGATTAAATTGATTAACAAAATATATAAAACAGAAAAATTAATTACATTAATACTGAACTAAATCTTTAAGTATCTACTCGCTTCTTAAAATATATAATAAATATAAATAGATAGTTATAAGTATTACTCTACAAACAATATATGGACTTATAATGGTCTGAAATCTGAATTAAATGATTTTTTTTTAATATTTCCAGACATCCACTTTGGTAAAGTGGAGGTCGACATCTTCATTTGCGTTATAGTTAGCTAAAACCCGAAACGAACGAATTACGCAAATATAATAGGCGTTCCTACGAACATGGAACAATTGTGAATAGGTTGAAAATAATTTATAAAATTTCTTGGATTAGAATTTCCTTAAAACATTAAAAATATCTTGATGAAAATTAACAATTCAAATATAACGACATTATTTTCAAGGATTTATGAATTGAAAGGAGCCATTAATTTCGAAAAATTAAGTCGTTACACGCAATTTGATTATACAATAGATATTCAATCGAATTGATATATATATATTTGTATAGTGCGTACAGTTTGACCGGTAAGATATTATATATATATATATATATGTCATGAATATTGGATGTATGTTTGTGCACAAATTTCTCGACAATCAGAAAGAATATTGAGATTATGTTTTAATTCGAACAGTCCAAGTTTTAGAAAGTTTAGTTTGAGACATAGAGTGATATGCAAATAATGTTGATATTTGATAAAAATAAAAATAAATAATTATGACTACAACATTTTTAGGTCTGGGCATCAGATTTCCATATCCGTTTCATGATCATTTGTCTAATAGGCTTGTAGTCGACTTTTTGTCTAAAGCCGGTTTCCTTACGATGTTTTCCTTCACCTTTAGAAGCGAAATAAATTTTACATAGACAGAAAGTCCATTGGTGCACAGCCGGGGATCGAACCTACGACCTCATAAGAGCCGCACACTGCTCTTACTATCTTGATAATTGATATCAGTTGAAATGTCTTGAAAAAACTTGTGGTTAGGATAGTGCGTAGGAAATGCTTCAAGCAGGATGGTGAAGCTTGAATGGGGTACCAGTAATTCCACCTGGTGTTCTCTGCTTATGCATTGAGAGGTACTCCTAACAATTACATACTTAACCTACATAAAATTGCGTGGTAAAACCTTTTAACCTTCGATGAAAACCAATTGGAAAATTCTTCAGTAAGAAAATACTTTTCAAAAGCCATAAATTAGGGCACTAAATAAAAAAACTTCGTTAAAGCAATCCATCGATTGGCAGGAACAGTCACGAAACCGATAGAGTGACAGAATCATCAACCTTATGCCATCGGAATACGGGCGAGGGTATAACTAATCTTATAGTTTATGGTAGTGATAAACTTGTTGTGGCTGTGTTTACGCACTGAGCACCTGCCCTATTTTATTGTAAAAGTTTTATCGGAAAGCGATGAATTGATGACGCTTTTACTTTTAATAGCTGGCTTTAAGGTTAGTAGCGTTTTATAGCTTGTGAAGATTTACGCAGTGACAGGTGGATACAAGGTTTACTGGGGAGGTCTTAAAATCCGGGATTAAGTCGACGTACAGTTAATTTTAACCACAGTAAGTCCAAATCTGAAATGCGAATCGCTACTACAGTAGATGCCGATAATTTGAAAACATTCCAAATCTGAAAGTCGAACGTCAGAGCGTTCCTTTTTCGAATTTCCCGCGTCTTTCTTTTGTTGCCATAGACGCGTTATCGACACTCAACTCTGTGCCAGATATTAGTCATATT